TAAAATAGCATATCCTTCAAATTAATGAAAAAAATATTTCTGATAATTTTAAACAGTCAAGTTAAGCTGTCTTTAATAGAAACTAATATCAGTAGACCTCCTACATAAGCATACCAGTTTTGATTTGTAAATGGAAGTATTAATTTTGAGAGGAGTAGAAGAATACGTATATTTTTCGATGTTACATCAAACATTTTTTTATGTCTGTTGAACAGTTAGCTATATCTAAGTATGTCAATCTTGATGGGGTTTTGTTCTCTGAGCTGGATGATTTGGTCGTGGAGCTTTCATTGTTCTTCTAAACGACATCATCAGCACAAACTTTTAACTCAGAGAACAAAACTCCACCAAGATGATCGACCTGAGCTACAAATCTTCTCCACCATGTCAAGTATGTCAATCAAAAAACACCAAGCTAGGTACATTAGACGGTAAATGTAAACCTAAATCCTATAAACAAGAAAACTAAAGAACTGTACGAGCTTATTGATAGTTATGGTTCCAAGTTACTCTCAACTGATCTCGATCCCTGATGTGAAGTTTACTGATTAAATAAGAATTCAGAGGAACTATATTATGTCACTGAGTTTGAGTGAATCGAAAGACTCCCTTGAAGCTGTTTATCCGCTTTATTACTCACTTACTTACGCCTGTTACTCCCAATGACGCATAGGCCGCCGACCACCATTCTCCAACCCACTCTGTCCTGGCCCTTCCTTTCCACTTCTGTACAATTTTTCGTTCATTTCTCTCATGTCTGTCTCCATTTCGCGACGTAATGTGTTCCTTGGTGTTCCACTTCTCCTTTAGCCTTGAGGATTCCGTTTGGGCGCTTGTTTTGTGACGCAGTTCGGTGCTTGCCTCAATGTGTGTCCTATCCACTTCCAGCACTTCTTCCTGATTTTTTCCTCCACTGGGATCTGGTTTGTTCTCTCCCACAGTAGATTGTTGATAATAGTGTCCGGTCAACGGATCTGAAGTATTTTGCGTAGACAACTGTCAATAAACACCTGTATTTTCTGGATGATGGCCTTCGTAGTTCTCCAGGTTTCCGCCCCATACAGTGGAACTGTCTTGACATTTGTATTAAAACTCCTGACCTTGGTGTTGGTTGACAGTTGTTTTGAGTTCCAGATGTTCCTCAGTTGTAAATATGCTGTTCTTGTTTTGCCGATCCGCGCTTTCACATCTGCATCAGATCCGACATGTTCATCATTGATGCTGTCCAAATATATAAAGGATTTTACATCTTCCAAATCTTCTCCGTCAATTGTGATTGGATTGTTGCATGCTGTGTTATATCGGAGAATCTTGCTTTTCCCCTTGTGTATATTGAGACCTACTGTTGCAGAGGCTGCTGCTTTACTGGTCGTCTTCTCCTGCATTTGTTGTTGCGTTTGGGGTAGAAGGGCCAGATCATCTGCGAAGTTCAGATCGTTCAGCTGCATCCTAGATGTCCATTATACCCCGTGCTTCCTTTCAGATGTTGACGTCTTCGTGATCCAGTCGATCACCAGGAGAAAGAGGAAGGGTGAGAGTAAGCAACGTTTTCTGACACCGGTCTTTACCTTGAACGAGTCTGTCAACTGTCCTCCATGAGCGATTTTGCACTTTAATCCATCCGCTTTATTAGCCCGTGAATAAATAAACATCAAAACTGAGCCTCCGTTGTTGAAAAGGTAATAAAATCAAAGAGTATGTGGTGGTTGTAACTTGCATATGATATTCCGAAGTTTATAAGCGATTTTCTACAATTCAAAATTATTTTTCTTCGAAAAATCTAAGTAAAAATATCTATGAAGGAGACCTAACTCCGAACGTACAAGAACTCAACAACGTTCATATATTTTCATAGACCAACGAAGCTAATAAAGCACTTAGAATCAACAACAGGGTACCGAAACACCAATTTGTACGATACACTTATATTCACTATAATATTTCTTTGTGAGTTCACTTTGAACAAAGTCAGTCAGCTACAACATAGGACCAGGCAAATATATTCAATGGTCCAAGTTGCCATACCTTATTAGCACAACAAGATGAACACAAAATTCATAGAAGCAGTCACTTCAAAGATAGTAACATATAAAAAAGACTACATATAAGGATATGATACAGGGAGAAAGGTATGAAGTAATTTCAGTCTCACGGTTTAGGGAAAGACAAAGAGTGTACACATCTACGCCATTGTGGTCGATTCTGAGCCATGTCACCAAGAGTCTCCAACCATTGGTTACGAAAGTCACGCGGACCCCAACCAAGTAGTCTGCATCTACCAACATGGCTCAGACTAGAAGTTAGTGTCTTCAAGCATTGATGCCACTTTTTGGTTTGGCCGCCCCTAACTTTCTTCCAATCATCCTCAACACCAGTCAGCATTGCATGTCGTGGTAATCGGCGCTCAGGTACACGTAACACGTGACCCAACCATCTCAGTCGATGAAGATTCACAATCTCATCAACTGACATACCATCATTTCCTAATACAGTGCGTCTAACCTCTCTATTACTTACCCGATGATCCCAGAAGATGCTGCCAGTATTCCTAGGACATCTGCTATCAAATACTAATAACTTACGAGTATCTTCTACTCTCAATGACCACGTTTCGCAGTCGTAAAGTAGAAGAGAACGAACTGCCGAGCAGTATAATCGTCCCTTAATTGATAGACGGATATCTCGCCTTCGCCATAGGTGACGTAAGCTAGCAAAAGCCAAACGAGCTTTTCGAATCCGTGCGGAGATTTCTTCAGACACCAAACCATCAGGGCTGATCAGACTTCCAAAAATAAAGAAACAAGTTCTTAATAAAATGTTTCTGAGATCTACACCATAAGACTGTTTATGCGACGTGACTGAAGTTTTCACCATGTGATAAAATAAACTTTTTCTTATCCAAACTGAGCGGTTTTTAATTCTAAGTAAAAGTAACCTTAAGAAATCTATTCAAAGAGTAAATGATGATTCGCACTACATTTTGAAGCTTATGCAAAAAACTCAAAGTTGCTAATCTGATTGGTTATTTATAGGTAATAAAGTTTAACCACTATTTTATTGAAGGTAAGCTCTGTACAGTTCTACTGTACGGAGCTGAAACTCGAAGAACTAAGACAACCATAATCAAAAAGGTAAAAGTATTTATAAACAATTTTCCACGCAAGGTACTCAATGTCCGTTGACTGGATATCATCAACAACAGCCTACTGTGGGTGAGAATAACCCAGCTTCCAGCTGAAGAGGAAATTAGGAAAAGACACTGGAAGTGGATAGCACATACATTGTGGAAATCATCAAACGGCATCACAAAGCAAGCGCTAAATTGGAATCGTGAAGGGAAACGGAAAACAGGAAGGCTAAAGAACACTGCGTCTGGAATTGGAAGCAGACATGAAAAAGACCAATGACAACTGGGAAGAAATATGCAGGACAAAGTTGGATGTAGAATGCTGATGGGTGGTCGATGCTCCTCCACGAGAGGTAACAGGCGTAAGCAAACCGAATAATCTACATCTGTTGGGTATCACAATGTGTTTTATTCTATATAAGGCAATCAGAAATAAAATGCTTACAAAAGAAAAATATGAGCAGTTTTATTTAGTTCTCGTAACTGTTGTTTCTATTTGGTGCACTTATTTTCCAACTGTTTCATTAGTGGTAATACCGTAAGTTAATGTTACACGAATCGTCGAAAACACTTGTATTTCTTTATTATGATTCATAATTACCTCAGCCATTTCCTTCTAACCAAATAGAGTTTAGGAATTTTGTTGTAATCATCATCATTTAGAGTATCACTACCTTTCTTCGATCATTGGTCGACAGTTGGTATTTCATAGTCTTAATGATTATAAATTCGCGGTACACAAAACTGGTGACAAACCAAACAATAAAATAAATTTATCTTATCATGCGAATCTTATTCCGTTTTCGTCACTCATTTTTCCTGTGAAAACAAGATGTGATTGAATGTAACGAAGTCCCTTATCAACCCCCCCTAGCTAATGCGATTCGAAGGCTTTAACATTTTATGTACATGGGTATTTGCTTCTTAATTCATTTGATGAGACATGTTATTGGTAATTATTATGGATGGGAAAACTAGTGATATTTTAAACCGGAAGAATTCGGAGGCGACCATCACCATGTACTAATATCATTGAATTAACAGGAAGGGTTTGAATAACTCGATAGATTCCGTTTTTGGATTTAGTATGATCACCAGTTATGGATGTATCGGGATTCAAATATATTCATACAACACAGATAATACTTGAAATCCTCAAAGAATGTGTTATCGATATTTTGAAACGTTGTTTACGTTCAGTGGACCTAGTGATTAAATGGCCATAAGATTAAAGTCTTAGACAAGATGGCTGTTCTATAACATATATTGTGTCAAAGCTTACCATAGCTTTAAACAAAAAGTTGGAGGAAAGTTAAGAATGACTAGACTTGGATATATTAGCAGTTCATGAAATCATATAGCCTGTTGGTTTCCAGTCATTTAAACATAATCCGCCCGGAAACAGATGTTCGTACACTACTGAGAAATATGACAATTTTAACTGATGTACTCCATACAATACCATGACCAAATTTGTCTGTTGAATAACATTACTCAATACTTTTAGAAATGGATATCCCAGAAGAAGACTAAGAAAGTCCTTAAAAAACGGCATGAATTTTCGTGCACTGGTCTAATTCGAAATTCCTGTTAATAACTTTATATTTGAAGGGAGCCACAATTATCAACATTTTTATTAGGAAGCATAAGAGAGGGAATTACTTAGCCGTTTAAGTTCAGTTGATTAAATTTCGCCATAAATTAATTAGACATGCTTTAAGTTTCATTTGTTTAGTACTCGCTCAGTATATATGTATAACAATGAGTAGAATATTCAACTCAATTAAACCCGTTGAATTATTTACTGCTTACTTCCGATTTGTGTAAAAGAAAAAAAATCGCGTAACTGAAGTATACAAAAGCAATTAAGTTATGCATCGATAATAATTCATTTAAATATTGACAGAATAATTTAACGTTTAATGCATAGTTGACATGCTCCGATAAATAACGGACTTCAGTAATACCGAACCTTTCATGAAATTCTATATTCCAAGCTAAATCCAAGCATGCAGCACACCAATCAACTGCTAGAACGAATGAAATCGAAAATCGAAGTGATGTATATGAGGAAATTTTTAAAATCTCAGAAGAGACACACGTCGTTTAACTTATGAAAGTACCAATTTTTACTGAGATATGTAAAGATTAAAATGATGAGTATCCAAAATATCAAAATGCTTGATCCCATCGTTAGTTATCAGTAGACACTGTTAAAACGCAACTGAAGTCATAGCGCTCCAAATTACATTGAGGGCGGAACAACGTCATGCAATATCATGGGGAAAAATACTATCATCATCAGGAAATAAAAGCTTTTTAATCCAGCTAATAATTATACGGGATGAAAGAAAATATTAAGAAAGAAAACTACAATTGTACAAAACAAATTCGTGATATGGTAAATGTACAAATAAACATGATAAAAGTAGAAAGAAATCTAGTTCATATGATCGCATACGCATTAGACTCAGAGTCCAGTAGACAAATGACTTTAACATTTATAACCATGATCGTAATCAAAACATACAAATTCATAAAAGTGTGAATAAGGAATTACCAAATCACATTGTTTGAATTGGGAAGTTGAAAACAGGTAAAGAATTTCACTAAATGATTTGTGCTTAGTTCAACGACCGGACCATCACTATGACAACCATTACCAAGAGACTTTAGCGAAATTATGGAACGTTCACCAAAGAACGATTCAAATAGAATAAATACAATAGAAATAAGTAAAAAGATTAAAAAGCATCTTCCGAATGACCGTTTATTGATACTGAATATAAAATGTGGTAAAATATTAGAATAAGTTTGTGAGAAAAGTGTATAATACAGTGAACCGTGAAAAGAACGTGAGCGTAAATGACCAACTGCAGTATCGAGATAATAGTTGTCCAACTGTACCGAGTCATTTGATGAGATCATACTGTCAATCACTTCTTTGTCTTTTTCTACAATAAAAGGTATAGTTGAATCAATTAAGTGTTGTTTTGCATGGTAAATTGACAAGTGTTTTGTTTTAAGTATAATTGCATTTGATTTGTTAATTATTGCCGATTCTAAATCACGAATCATAGTTAGAATTTTCTGACGAAGTTCACAAGAAAAATGAATTAAATTGGTAATGGAGCATTTTGATATATTGACATTCAATTCTTTACCATGATGATCATGACTATCATGTTGTACAAGAATGTTTGATTTACAGGAAAATTTCCAGAAGTCATTGAATAAGTAACATGAACCCAAACGTGACTGGATAGTCCATAGATTTTCATTTAAATCCTAAAAAAGAAGTATAAATTTGTAAATTATACTAGGTGAGAAAGGAAACTAGCAACACCAAATGTGAATTATCATTCGCTACCAAAATTTATATTCAGTGTAAAAAAGTGACTATTCCAAATAACATAAAATCTAAACAAGTTCTAAGAAGAACTCAAAGTAAATTTTAGTCATTTAGTCTTTTATGACGACAAGTATGTTAGGCTGAAAAAGTTCTTTGTCACTAAATAACTAGAGAGATGGAATCAATCTAAACCATGAAACAGTGGATATTTCTTAATGCTTATTTTGAGAATATTGTGGTCAGGCTTGTTTACGTATATTCAAAGTATTAAATGGTAGAATTACAGACAGCCGCGGTGAGTTGATGACTGACGAAACCTCAGCAGGTATATCGAAAGACCATTTAGTATTTACTAACTTGCGCCACATCTGGTGTAGGGGAGATATCCATGTTCCAATTAAGAGGTAAGTATATTGAACAGATATCTACTCTGTATTCTTGTGTGATGGTAGAAGACATAATTAATTTTCAAGTAAATGATCATAAGCAGTTTAAAAGCACTGCCTGTACATGATGAGCCGATTTAGCAATATCGAAGTTACCTGTAAGATACCAGGTAAGAAAAAGGCAGGACCGATATTAAGGTCATAACTTTTATTATCAGAGGTAGTTAGAATATGTTATAAATCCCTGAAGACAACCTACAATCAGCCAGTCAACAACATAAAACTTCTTACGTACGTACATCAGTTAGAGTAGCCATACCACATTAGCACAAAGGTACAATTGTCGATTCAAATCCCGTAGTGCTAGATGTAGTAAAAGTATAAACAGTAATCGGAAAGATTAGGGTTTGAAGATGTTATTCAAGAAGTATAATACAGTGAAATAAATCTGGAAAGAGAAAAAAGAAATATGAAGAATTCAGGAGATTAGAATTTGGGAGAACACAAAGAGTGGATGCACCTGCGCCATTGTAAACGATTTTGAACCATGTCATTCAAGGTCTCTAACCATCGATTGCTATCATTTCGCGGATCTCAACCAGGAAGTCTACACCTACCAACATGGCTCAGTCCAATTGTCAATGACTTCATGGATTTGTGCCATGATTTGGTTTGGCCGACAACCCACCCTCAAGTTCAATGTCGACGGACATGAGAGTAAGACAGAAATAGAGTTAGGGAAATTAGGAAATGACATCAGATCATGAAGTTACTAACCTCTGACCTGTTCTTGCATATATATATATATATATATATAGTTATCATTGATAACCTTTGTCATTCCAATCCCTTACATTCACTTATGTCAATTGTTCCATACTATTTATCTTAATGTAAAACTCTAATACATATTTGGTTGTAAGGATCTGCGGAGAAACCACGAAATATAATGAATTCATATTATTGTGCATCAATAGTTGTTCTGGCTTTATTTGAAGTCACTGACCGACGAGGAAAAAAATTCAAGATGCCCATATCAGATGACCAGCTTAGTCGAATACTACAACAACAGCAAGCACAACTTGATGCACAAATGCGGTTGTTGGAGACTCTGACTCAACAGCTTGACATCCTCTGTTCGAGTTCATATGCTCTTTCAAGTACGTCTTGTGATGCAGTTGCTAGCAGCATCCCAGAATTCATCTATGATCCCGAAAGTGGAAATACTTTTCTCACGTAGTTCAAACGTCGGGAAGATACATTAAGACGACGAGTGGAAGACTCGACTGTTGGTACGTAAGTTGGGAAGCAATGAACATGCACGTTATACTGACCATATATTGCCAAAGTTACCTCAAGAGCTCAGTTTCGAGGAGACGGTAATTCAATTGTCAGAGATATTCGGTGAGTCATCCTCATTGTTTAGTATTTGACATCGGTGTCTAAATTTGGTGAAACGCGAAGCCAATGAATATGATGTTCTAGCAGACATCGTCAACAGAGAATGTGAACGGTTCAAGTTACGCTCGTTGACGGATGACCAATTTAAATGCTTAATATTCATCAAAGCTCTTTAGTCACCACAAGATACTGAGATCAGGACTAGACTTTTGGCTCGATTGGATCAAGACCCAAACGTCACACTCAGAACATTGACAAATGAGTGCAAGCGGTTACAAAGCATCAGACACGACAACGAGTTGATTGAACAGGCAAATCCTAATTTAACCTGCAGTAGTGTCAATGCTATTACTATGTTAAAAGTTCAGAAGCCGATAACAACTTGTAACAAACCAACGACTGCATACTGGTTATGTGGTGATTGGCATTATGTACGATTCTGTCCATTTAAGAAGCATAAATGTCAGATGTGCAACAAACGTGGACATAAAGAAGGTCATTGTCCACCGAATCGTACGCCTCAGCCCAAGAAACGTAAACGTCCTCGACACACCAGATCCTATGAATCTGCTCAAAGAGGAGGTGTTAGCGGGACATAGACTGGATTAAAGCATGCTCAATGCATGATTGCTTTGGTGCATGCTGATTGAATAAGAATTAGCTAATCAGCGTTAGTCAATACTTAGTGAACACTTTAAAAATCTCATGTGAAAAACTATAAATATACTAACGTTTTCCCTATCGCATTTCTTACTTGCTTCTTACTTCCACCTAACCTTGTTATTTGGAATATAATCTCTTCCCTGTTCAACCGTGTTCTGATTTGGGGACTTATCAGATGATTTGGTGTCCAAGAATACTAAGCGATAGGAATAGCTGGGTTATAACCGTAAGAGAGAATTATAACAATTAGTAATATTAATTTAATAAATGGTCAAGACATCTGAAAAAAATATGGATGGACATTATTGACATCCAAATGTATGAATCAGGCTTTTGAAAAAAATTATCCTTGAGCAACTTATGAAGAGACCTTAAAATACATACGGATGTAATTGAATACTTAATTGAATAATAAATGCCAGTTTCTTTAAGTGAATCAACGGATAAAGGTATATAATCGATATACCTTAAAACTATGATTCTATTGCGTGAATTAAATTCTAAAAATGGAGCATAAAATTTAGAAAAGTAGTTATCTATCTGAAAGATCGTGAGACATTGATTTTCTTAGTCCCACTCATTGTTAATTTCATAATTTTCTGTCATTTTATTCCTTTTCCATACATTTTCAGAGATATGATGGGTAGAAGTGTGTTTCATTGACAAGACGAGTTAATGCATCAAGCTAGTTAACGGGACTTTCAGTTGATTATGGTTTTATTTAGTAATAGCCCTTTATCAACAGCAAGTTATCGAATAACAAACCACCAGTGCCACTAAAAATAAAGAGAATCAAATACACTACTTACACGTAGTTCTTCTAAAGTGTTTACGAACTCGTTGGATGAATAGGTTGAAATTACACCAAGATCAGAATGTATTTCATTTAAACAGTGGTCAACATTATCAATAGATGACGTAAACTCATCATAAGACTGTAGAAGTGGTTTCAATACCGCCTGCGCTCTATGAATTGCTGTCTGAACACGTTGTTTCATGCCCAACAACGATACATTCGCGTCATAGCTTTCTCCCACCAAATGATCAAACATAGATGAACGCCAATTTATAACCCAAAAAGCCATAGTATGTCTACAAAAAAAAAGAAATACCGCAGAAAAATAACCATAATTATGTAAATGAATATACAGATACAGGTAAATTTAATACTTGTAAGAATGTAAAATTAGAAAATAAGATTCTACAGTCAAATAATTTTATGGAAACTTATTTAAAGTTACCAACCATAAGTGATTAATCAGGTACTCCATTACTATGTACTGGATTAGAGTACTTATTTGCCATTCAAGACCATATGTTTTCCACAGGAGCGAAAGTTCCTACACGATATAAATTGAGTTAAATGAAACGAAAACAAAAATAATGAGTGAACACAATTTATCCTCCAAAAACAGGAGGATAGAAACAACGTATCAGTTCACTGCTGTCATAGTTGATATCAATAAGATGGGTGATAAATATTAATAGAAATTAATGAAAAGTTTGGGTTCATATTAAATGGAATTTTAAGAAAAAATTAATAGAATGTATCTAAATAACTGTGGCCGATGCAGGAATATATCACTAAAGGTCTTCAAGCATAAACTATAGTTACCTCAGAGAGGGCACCAGGAAGGTCTGCAACACCAAGATCAACCGACTACATGAACAAGTTACAAATTTTGATCTGACCAATTTAAATATTTTCAAAACTAGTCTTCACACTTGGAAGCACAGCACACATAGGTGGACTATGGTTAGATACATTTTACGAATATATACTTACCTAGATGATAAGTTTACAACTTAATCAACTACTTAACCGTTCATACTTGGAAAATTTTATATAAATAATTAACTCAAATGGAGCAGACTAATGTGAAGTATATTTACCTTTTAATTACCAGAAGGATAATCAGTTAGATCTACTTATAGTTTCAACTGAAAAAAGTTCAAGGGAATCGCGCTTGAAACTGAAGATTCAAATAATCATCAGTTCACTTAGTAATTATGAGTTGTGGATTACTTATTTACAGTCGAAGATTCAAAGACGATTTCCGATTGAGTTTAATGACCGTTTGCCAAGCGATAATAAGCATCATACATATATGTTTTAGAATAAATTGTTCCTGAAAAAATGTTACGTAATGTATACTATGAGATCTATACACATAACATGTAGTTTCGATGTTATGCTTCTCCTAAAGAATGTGCTTTATTTTAAGGTTTTACAGGCGAAATATTACTTTAAAAACATAATATTTAGGGTCAGATACCTTCAACAAACGGGTCTGATCATATGACATAAAGGTATATTTTACTGAAAAGTGATGGTCAAGAAAAATAGCACATATGTAATTAAGACACTCTAAAAACGAGAAACCTATGATATGTATTTACGAATCTGTCAAAAACCGGACCCCAAAACAGACTAAATCAATGAGAAAAACAGTTATTTGAAAACAGAATACAAAACTGAAAATGAAGAGGACCGAAAACGACTAGGTGAGAGAATGTTTTAAGATGATGTTAAACCAGACAGAAATTGATTTTATAATTTTTCTCTTACCTATGTGAAATCACACACTTAATATACAGAAGTACACAACCCATGAATGCGTTTACGCTAATAATTATTCATTTTAAACCATTCAAAAAAATATACATGCTATGTAATGAAAATCGATAAATCATTCCAAACAGTAGTGACTAACCGACCAGAATGACTTAATAATCTATAGACATTAATTTAGTGACTTAGTGTTATGAAGGAACAATGGATTGATAAAATATCCGACAATTTGACTGAAGTGGTTAAATAGATAATCAGCTCAAACAAACAAGTTTTAAATCCTTGTAAACATAAAACAGAATCATTGGTCAATTAACTAAATATAAAAAAATAATATAACAACATTTTGAACATCAATGATATCCTGGATCCTAAAACTACATATAAAAAGAAATGCTTTAACATATAACACTAGGAGAAACTAGATTGAAGCACACAGAGACCTATTACGAATTGATTTTAGTTATCCAAAAGTGAAAATAATCAATACTCCCTACAATGTATGTGCATCTTACCTTGCCTTAAGAGCTAATAACCAATCACTAAATGTATTTAAAGCGATTGATAGTGAAGTTTGTGATTGTGTCTTATAGCCTGCTTCCTCAGATCGAAAAGAATCCAATAACTTATCCATAGTATTAGTCCACTGAGTAAGACGTTTACCATAATGCTATATAAATAAACAGGAAATAAAACTTTTATGTATAAAATTAACATAATATCGAAAACAACGACATAATTGTTGGACATCATTTAAGAGTGTTGAGCTGAAGTAATTTGCGAAATGGATACAACGATATATTTACTCCGACCAAATACTGGACACACATTGAGTCATCTTATATGTAGTTCAGTTGATTAACAAAAAAAAACAGTGATAAGACATTTTGAGTATTTTTCGTAGGTATAGACACTAAACAATGATAGGTGAATCGAAGCTACGAAGACAGCAAAAACAAGAATAAAAAAGAAAGAAATGAATGTATTGTTTCACATAACCTATCTATTACTAAATGAACTGAACTTATCCAAAAAAACACAAATAGGGTATAAATAAACTCTAAATTTGTTTATAATAACGACTGGTAGTGAATGTAAAATTCCAGGAAAACAAAAGGTACTGATTTTCTATAATAGTTCAGATGAGGTCAAAAAGGATTACAGGAAAAAGTAGCAATCCTTGAAATGAGTGATTTTAACACGGTATGCCAAAAAATAACGACAAAAATACCTCAGGATGAATAGAACATATTTTAAGTGTTCTTGCCTTTAAGAATAGTTAAAAAATCTGTTTTTAATCAATTTATGTGAAGAAACTCCATTTGTGTTCTAGGTGGTGAGCCGTATATTAGGTGCGAGGGCTAGTGATACTACATGAAGATAAAAAATATAAGTGAATGGAGCACGGTTCAAATCCAGGCAAACGCTTTATCTCTTGGTGATCTACAGGTGCATGATAAAACAGAAGTTTATTACTTCGTTTTTTCTCTTTCTATTTAAATATTAAGTCGATGAGAATAGTAGTATCTTCTAGAAGTTTTATTTATTCACCATTTATACAGTCACAGTGCACATAGGTTTATAGACTAATCGTATATCTACAACCGACATATATTAATGGATAATAACAAAATAAACTAGTAATTAAAACATAAAGTGATACCGTGAGATAACTTTTATCAATATCCAGTTGTCGACGTTCGTCCTCCAATTTTTGTGAGCATGGATTTTCATTAACTTGCAAATCCGAATCCAAAATTCCAGTCACAGATTTTTCTTCTAAACGTAATAATAGTTTAATAAGTGGAAACGCGTCCCGACGTATTGACGTTAAAAGAGGGAGAATATCAGCTTCCTTTATCAACGAACTATCGGGCAAATCCATGACTGAAAATGATGAATAACAAGTGTTTTACAAGCTAGTTAGTCTTTTTTACAAAAAAAGGAATGAGCATGTGATGGTTAAAATTACCGGTGAACACACAGCAACCACAAATGTACTAATAGCCGATGTCATTCTCTATGTTAAGGCAATCACAAATGAAATCTCAGAGAACAGGTTCCGTTGACCTTTCGAAATCATATGACGTAAACGAGTTGTCCTTCTGTTCAACAAAAGGCAAGTATATCTTACAGTAGTTCATTTAATTTTTTTTCACCTTACTTAAAGGAATAAAATATTTTATTTGAAGGTATCGAATTCGTGTAAATTACAAGAATGCTATCACAGATGTCTAATAATTAATGCTCACGTAAGAGTAATCCTGATGTGAGATGCAGTTTTCGGAATATGTTGTGAATCAGTTGACAAAACGATTAACATAAAAAGCAACCGAAATAAATAAGATTTGTCATATATGTCTAATTATCATCTTAGGGCTGAACCATAAAATTAGTAACAATTTTAGCAAATAAATTTATTGTACATTTCTCATTTAGGTCTCGAAAATTATATGATTCTATTCTTTTTCATTCATGTTTGACTTCTGATGATATTCTTTTGTGTTGGGATTTCAAGCTGATAAATATCTGCACAATATATCAAAAATAAGTGAGCATCTAGATATTTAGTGGCTTTTCACACTACAGAATGAGTAATTGCATTTCAATGATCTGACTGAATTAGTTGTAAAGACACATTATAACAAAGGTTGAATTTTGTTCATTTATCAAACACATTACATGAAAACATACCAGAAGCAGCTCCTAATTTAGTATGATTATTGTTGCCCCGATTGTAACAATATGCTTCGTTCTGTAAAAATATCGAAAAGTATATATATATATTGAGAATCGAATATTAAGAGAAATAAACATGATGAAACGAAAGTATATTTGTCTTAAACACAATATGAAAAATTTAAACTTACATGTCAATGACTGCCCTTAAAAAACAATTCATTACACTTGAAGAGAAACTAATTACTACAGTAGATTTTACACATTTTATCATTAAGATCAAGACACTTTAGAAGCTGTGGTGGATGCCAGCTAAAACTGTTTCATTGAGTATTATTTACTTTATAGATAATAAGAAATGAATCATAACTACAGTGGGAACCCATCAACATTTAACAAAAAAATCAACTTATTATTGACAATAGTAAGGAAATTTAAATAGCCACTACCAAGAGAAACAAATATTTTGTTACAAGTAATCAGTTTCGCAGATCATGGAACTTTGTCTTTGAGCTTTCAACTATGATATAAAATTATCCTACAGAAAATAAAAACCATTGCAAACTCAAAATGACCAACTCAACTATCTTCAAACACAACGTCATGTAGGCAATTATATGTAATCTTTATTCATAAGCTAAAAAGTATGACGACAAACATCACTTTGATAACATGGACCAAATTATTTCTATTTATGGTGAGATAACCTAATTATAACATCTTCACGTCATCTGTGTTGATTTACTAAAGCGTAATTAAAATAGATAAAAATTTGAAGGGATGCAAAAACTGCACGTTAAGTTAATAAACTAACATTATTTACTATTGTATCAGGATGTGTAGGTGTATGCAATTCAGGAAAATCAATATTAGCACAAGCCGAATAGCACTTCTGTACCTCAATAGTTTGTTCCCAGGATTTCACTGATTCTGGAGAATAAGAATTATTTTGACTGACAGATAAATTGTTTATTAGTATGGAAATTTCTGAATGATGTGAGGGATGTAAAGAGACCTGGAATTTTAATAAAAAATGCAGATAAATTTGTGTCGAAGAATAAGAATGATACATTTGTGGAAAGTGAAACTATTTAAGGACAATAATATTCATCCTAAATCAAGCTACCTCCCAGCTTTAGAATACAGAATTGGTGCTAGTTATTTGAAGTAAAACGACAAGAAATGTAATATTCTGTCATGCGTAGTAGGACTAATCGAGGATAATTATCAACGACAATGCTCATTCTCTGTAAATTCGCAACTATGACTCTAGAGATGCTATTAATCGCTACTGACTAAGTAAATTTTCAGAAAAAAACAAACACAAGTCAGCGGTTTTCAATCTACAGCATAATGCTTTTTCCACTGTTCTTGTATTCATATAATGAGCCGACAGTTTTGACTACAAATATTTTGTAGTCTCGGGTCCTAAGAAACACTTAAAAAGAGCGAATAACTAATAATCGAATATCTTAGGGTACGACAGACGATATGTGGGGTCAGTTGACGGTTGAGAACAAGCCAGCGATAAGCTGGTTCAATTATCACTCAATCGACATATAAATATTACAATGAAAAGTGGTAAACCTACCTCTGTGTGAGATTTTTGTTGTGAGTTAACAATTTGACTGAGATGCTGAACGTGGGGTTCAGTTAACTGAAAACGAGGAGAAACTAATGCCTCAGCAGCAAGGGTAAGTGGAGAGCAGGGAAGAATAGATCCATTCAATGTGTCGGCTGATTCATTACTTGGCAACAGTGATGGGGAATCAGACTTTGCAACTTTAACGGGAAATAAGAACTAGTTACTAATTATCAATAAAGTGACAAATTTTGAATGATACAAAATGATGGGGTATGTAGTAAAAATCTGTCCTAGGAAGAGATAAACATAGGTCAATTGGAGAGCTTAACCATGAACTCCCAATACCATGTGAACCCTAAATAAAAACTTGATAAATTTTCATCATCAATAACTTCAAAGATTGAGTAAACTTGTTATGCATGAATTCTACACTTTAACAATGTACGTTGGGATAGTATGAGATCTAGCAATCATTGAACGAATTTTAATTGCTTCACTATACAACTCAGAACAGTCAAGTGCTTCATCTAATCGGATACCAGAAGTTAGACATTTTTATGTTCTGGGTTCTTATTTTGTTTAATATTTATGCAGAAACAAGTACGTTAAACACTTTATTCATAAATGAAAGAGGAATTATTTATACAATTCATTTTAGATATGAAAGTGACAATGAACCAAAATCATGGTAAATAAGTTTTTTAGATGAAATAACTGCGGAACTTGATAAGTATAGTACTTACTTACGCCTATTACCCCTCGTGGAGGGGCATAGGCCGTCCACTAGCATTTCCCATCAGTAAGTATAGTAGTCAGTTTAAAATTAGATATTTGAAATGTAAACTTCAACTGGCAATTTAATGAGTTTACCAACAGAAAATCATTGGTTACCTACACGATTTTTTAATCACAAGAGAATGTGATTGTAGTTTATTTGATCGAGGCTCACTCTATCTGAAAGAACAGTGTTATATAGTTCGTGTAAACTATTTACAGAAAAAAAGAGAAACTGTAGTTTCTTCACAAGGCAAAGGATATGTTAGAAATGCTATGAAATAAATATTTCATGAAAGTAACACTTGAAGCGCAAACTTTAAATAGCTACAGATAACTCCAAGATGAAGTTTGAAAGGCGGAATTAAATTAGTTAGAAACAGTTAATTCAAAGTATAAAAGTTAAGCGAGTAATTTAGTATAAAACTTAATAACTGGAAAAATGAACCAGAAGAGAGTGGTACGTTACCTTCCATGGTCAACATTATACCAATATTAGTTTTGTGGTTTTCGGGAAAACAGGCAGTAAACTAACATAATCCAAATTTAATAGTCGGATGTTAAAATAAAAAAACATGATTTTGGTAACCTCAAATACTGCTGCTTACACAATCGAAACAAATGACAGTTGTGATTTTAAAAATAAAAGTTATCGTTATCAAGACTTTAAATTGGTTTACTTCCATCGAAACATTACTCTAGGGTGGTGATCAATCAATTGTGATACGGAAGCTTTTTTACAAATAGTAAACTTACTTTGTAAATCACCCGAATCATCCCATTCCAGTCCATCAGCATTATTATCGTCCCTATGAATGTTAGAGGGTTTTTCATCGAAATGAACATAGATACCATACACCAGACCATGGTCTTTATGAACATGATTAAAGTTCTTTGATATTTCAACATGTTCAGAATTATTATTACCATTGATACTATGATTATCGTTTGAATTATTCGGAGGAATAATTATTGATAAAAGATCAGGGGATTGTTGAGAATTGGAACGATATAGATTTGACTTGAATTCAGTAGTTGGTAATAACTCTGAGCAGGTAGTGCCATTCAAATTATAATTTGCTGTTTCACGTAGATCAACAGTATTTGGATTTGAATGGTGATCTATACGGGGTAACAAAGACGAAAATGAATTTCTTCGTAACTTTCTATAATTGTATTGTTTAGGACTAGTTAAAGTGCCAGGGGAAGAAAAACCACATGTTGCTATGAATTGAAGACGTTGATGATCCTTTGAGGAAAAAATACCAATGGGCATCTTAAATATATCTTCTCCACTCCAAGAATTAAGCCGAATTCGATTTGCAGAAGAGCTATTGAAAGGAAAGAGAGAAGATAAAAAAGTAGGGATGGTAAAATCAGAACAAAACACACTACACACAAAACAGTTAATTGATGCAGAACCTGATAACAGTTCTTAAAAGCCATATTTTATGTATGAGACTTAGTGAATATAAAGAACCTCTAAACCAATACATGGAGTCAAGTGTGTACAAAAACCAAGTTAACTTATACACAACATGATTTTTCAAAAGAGCTCACATGCAGATTTTAGTGGAATCAAATAAACTTAAGGTTATCAAGGATACGCAAAAATGTTTTTTAACACAATGCATTCGACGAACTATGTACAGACTATGAAAAAACTAAATGACTACATAGTAAGGTAAACGGATATTCAGCCATTGTAACACCTAATATTCAACCAGAATTTGGTGCGAACAATTTTTAAGATATTATTGCGAATTCGATAGCTTCTCAACTGAAGAATTTTGAAGGTTCTACACCCTGAGATTTATCACCTATTTAGAAAAAATGTACGAAAACAGAATACAAACCGTAGATTAAAACAAAAGACCTAATATCAAATTAACTCTGGTTTGGCCATACACTGGTCCGTCTCATTGAATGGTTCAATACTACTTCTTTCATAACACCATACAAAACATTGACATACAACTTCTAAGATCGCGTTTATTGAGAAATAATCAGAGACATCATGCCAGGTTTACATGTCACAATTTCTGTATAAAAGATAATAATTCACATAAAGAACAAAACAGTATCATCTACAAACAACTTCATACAGTCTGATAGATAAATCAGAGTGATGAATCGAAAATACCACTTTCTACTATAGACAGAAAAAGTACTACAGTTGATAAAAAATTATTCAACGAAATCGTTGTCTGATTAAACAAAGATGACAAGATTAATTCAAAGATCTTAGTGATGTAATATATCGAACATTGCTTAAATATCAATAGAAAAAATTCGATGATAAATAAACTCACATAAAAATTAATAAACAAAATTAAAGTCTCAAATAAAATAATTTCCAAGTTGCATTCAATTTCTCAAAATAAATGGAAACAAACAGCTGTTCAGATAAATTAAATGAGAAAATATGTAAACACAAAAATAATCTATGCCGAATAAATAGTCCTATATGTCAAGGTTAGATACAATTGTATGTGATCGCGTGGGTGCTAGCTATTTGATTAGACAATTTTATATAAGCTAGATAAAGCTTAATCCATATAAACATAAATAAATCCATAAATGAGAAACATGAAAAGTAAGGCTATGAATATATATAAATATAACTGATCACTTTAAACAAAAAATGATCTAAACAGATTTAATTACATATCATTATTAATTGCGATAAAAAAGCGGACTTGCTAATCAGGAACGAAAACAAAGAAAATTTAACTGCTTAACAAACTTAGCCGATGCTTAATAATGACAGTTTGATTATAGTTCAAAATAAAACCGTCCATTTCCAGTTGTTTGAGTAATGGATGTTAGTTATAATGAAACTCATTTACCAAGTACAAGTTTATTTAGTTTTCAAACAGACATCAAGTGCAAAGACAAATGATACTCTCAACACTCCAAACCGAAGGACATGGAACGAAGTTCGAACCGGCGAACTACTAGTTGAAAATCGAGTAATTTAGTCAGTAATTCAGCAGTTGCGTTAAAGTAATTTATCAATATTGTGGTTTACAGAACTAGGCACCATGCAGGCTCTCTGAGACCTGGATGGCGCAGCTTCAGCTTGTAGAGCGACCACTTAGATACCAAGATCCTTGGTGACCCACGGTAACAAAAAACATTTTACTTAACTTCAGATAAACTAAAATCTCATGAATTTTTGATTGCATTGTATTGTAACACTATTGTTGGATAGTGTGACAGTCAACATAAAAAATAATTCTACTGAGAAATAGTAGAGAGAGGTAAATCATGACCTCGGAAAAAACAACTACAATATAGAGAGGTACACTTTGGAAGAAGAATGCGCAATCGTTTTTTTGAAATATTGAATTTCAAACAATTTCAAATTAACTGTAGTTTACATCGCAAATTGATTTTGTTTAAATAATCATTGAGGATCAACGAACACTAGACAGTTATTTCATTCTCGCATGAGACTTCTTGGTGACACGCACGTACAACAACTGGGGTCGAACCAATGACCTTTAAGCTTCAGGGAGAGTGAGTCGCATACTAAAGTGAAAAAGCCAACCAATACTTCCAGACGACTGTTTGGGTAAAGTCAGTCCACGAAGTTACTTACAAGTTGAGCAATATCCGTTGTATTTTATATTCATTATCCTCTAAGTACATATTATACAGCTAGTAATACAGTATTTCAGGTTAAAAGTACTTTTACTAGTCTTTAAAAAAGACAAAATCGCAAAAACCGTTTTTGTTAAATCAAACAGATATATCCAGCTAACTGGTTATATCAACCTAATACATGGCGTCTATGAAAAGACTAATTACAAGAACATGTATAGTAAGACTACCACATAACATTAAAAAATTGCACTATGACAATGAGTCGCTTGGACTAGGTAAATCAGTGAGATTCAATGGTAAAAAATTACATATTTTTCAACATATAAAAACTAATTTTCTTTCTTAATCACCCTCAACATGGCTAATAATTTGTGGATCAGATAAATGTACATTTTATTGTGATGGAATAAACGCCGATAAAATTTTAAACTAACCATTTGCGTTTCAATCCAGAATCACTGGAATGAAAACGTGAATAAAGAGAACCCAAATCATGAGTATCTGCTACATGCATGCTCAGGTTATCACGGTTAAAATCTTCTAAGGAATTTGTTTGTTCGAAACAAATATCAAACGGACATTTCGGCTGTTTTGCAGAGTATTTATATTTATTAGTCTTGTCATTATCATTATCGCCACTCTTCCCATTAGGCTCCATAGAAAAACTGACCAATTTAGTTGGTGTACGGTTATAAATTTCATGGAATAAACCAGAAGGTGAGTCACTGATTGCCTCTGAATCATTTGAATCTGAGAATAACGAAAATCTTTTGAGCGATATATATGATTATAAAAACGAAAACATCTACTGCAGTGTAAAATAAAATGATTGAGTGAAAAATTAAATGAAACTGACGTAAAGTGACCGAGTATTTTGAGAAAGCTATCGTTTATTATTATTATTATTGGTGATGACTTTATTCAATATTATATGTTTAGAACAACATAAAATAGGTGGCATGCTTTATTTAATAATGAACTACCTACATGACATTATCCAATGTGGGTTAAATGCGACTAAAAACCTCAAAGTTAGCTAATGACAAAAACCACATGAAAAGTTCAGGAGCATAAACTACTCCAGACTTCATGAACTGCGTACGAGACACTTATCATAACAAAATAACCAGGAAAATCATGACAAGATTCTTTGGATAATTTTAAATAAGTATAGATAACATCGAAAACTAACGACTGTTTACAAAACATTTTCCAATAAATTTCAATCGTCATACCAGGATTGATATCTTTGAACATAGTTAAGTATGTGCATTTAATATACTGTGTTTACATGAACATAACTTCCTAAAAACCCATGAAAGTTTGCAGCGCTGTTTAGATCAGATAATAAAATTTTAAATAAAGTTTTACATCTGTCGAGCAAAGCATAGAAATAGACCTTAAATCCAAGATTGAAAATTATGTCGAAGTGGGGTTTTAGAACTGTATCAGCTGGGGTATTAGTGACTACAAAATAGAAACCCAGAGAATTTTTATTGAATGATTGTCCTCATCTAATAATGTCAAAAAATAAGCTGTTTTAGTTGAAATCCCTTTTCTATATCCATTAGGTCGTAAGAGTTACCTCAATCTAAATTACTGTTAATAATCCGTAATTAAGTAATCATTATCTAAATTTAATGTTCTCCAGATAATGTACTATTTGTTTAATGACTATAGACATACAAACCAGTCTTTTTAAAATATTTGATCAATTCGTTTTTGTTTCATTTTATTTTTGCATTCAATCGCTTTTCCTATATATATATATATATATATATATATATATATATATATACTCATTTTTATCACTATAATCACAAAAATATGAAATCTATAGAACAGAGTATTTTCAGTCCGAAATTTCGTGTATCCTTCTATAACAGTATTATTGACATAAGTTATTAATCAAGTATAAATTGTGTGCTCGAGTTCTAGTCGCAAACTTTGTAAAAAAAAGCTAATATTACTGTTACCCAGGGTCCAAATAAATAGAACGGATTTAAAAAATGCAACTAGGAAGTTAAAAGTCGAATGACTACAAAACCACCTCTTCTTACGACAAACATTGCAAATATACCTAGAACAAAATAATAAAAAAAGAGAGTCCAGATCACCAGTCAGAAGCTAGAACGAATCACTGGTCAAAATGAATGTGACGGACGATTATTGATTACGTAAGTGATGAAAGTTATTAGTTGCGCAATCTCAGGTTGATCTATAGACGTTTCAGTCTATCAAAATTAGCTAACTGGACTCAATTATGTTAAATAACGTGATTGTTTAAAATGAATTAACTCCGGGCCTATACCTAATCCGCAAAACTAAATGGATGAAATTGCTTTTCTGTGTTTACGCGACTTTAACATAAATGCAGATATCAACTGTTGATAGGTACAAACGATGTCTAATCATCTAGGTTGTTAATCACTTATTTCAAATCCTATACTTCGAACTTAAAAACCTACTTACCTGTATTGGAAGTCCATAAACAGTCCAAGGATTGAGAAAGAATATTATCATTTACAGAAGAAAATGATTTTCTATTTTTGGACTTCGTAGTGAATAAATCAGAAATAACAAAATTAGAATTAGATAAACCTAATTGATCTACTGCTTGACAAGTTAGGAATTGGTCAGCATCACTTGCAAATCCTGATTCTGAACAACACAGTGAATATACACTGGAAGTTGAATAATCGATCCGATTGTTCACATCAAAATTCAGCTGGAATCAATGTTTGAAACCATGAAATTTAACAAAAGAAAAACAAACAATAATTCATTTTATGAAGTTAATGCAAATTGTCACTGCTAGCCAAAATCAATAAAAATAAAGGAAATTAATCAGTATACATCAAGGACATCATTTACTGAACATAGCCAGCGTCCTTAACATTGCAAATAACTAGTCAGATAAACAATAAATCACTAGTGGGAGCTTACTTTAACCTTCAATAAACTTAGCTTAGAGGAGTAGCCAATTTGAGATGAATGTTTGATGAATACAATCAAAAAGAGAATGTCACACTAGTCAAAAGATCAATAATAAAAGTAAAGCACTACATTGAATTGAAATGTTTAAGCTGTGTAATATGATTCAGAAACTCCTGACTTAAGATGAACATCGACCGTAGGGAAATAAGCAGTTTCGTATTTACTTATGGAATACTTCCAAAGTGTAACAAAATGACTCATTTATTATTCTAGACGTAAAACAATTGATAACAATGTCACGTATGTTGTTGATCTACAATAAGTGAATATGTATGACAAAGCACGGAACATTTCTTTTAGTTCAATCACAAAGTAAAATTCTTTCACTGTAAAGTTGCTTACAAAGTGACTTGTGCAAATTTAGTTTCTAAACACTCAATGAGTCCTATTTTCGTTGCACCGGTGAAATCCTCTGAAAATTGCAGTTCATCAACCTTCGATAAACCTCTCCTAGCAAATGATTTCTGGATAAAAACAACTATCGAGTGTTCTTTTTAATTTGTAGACAGGAAAAAGGAAACCACTGTATTTAAAAATATATGCTCGTGAGGAAACTACTGAATATGCAGGAAACACAGTGATTAATGAAACAGTATCATTAAGTTTCTCAACTCAACTTTAAATGCATTAATTCTCAACTGAATCAGAAAATTGAAATCTAAATTAAACTAATTTGCGTCAGTAACGATGTTTATGTTTGGCTTCGACATTGCATTTAAATGAAAGAGCAGATGATACTACCTGGTTGCCAAAATGGAGTGGATAGAATAGGGTTCAAATATATGACCCAAGTTTGTTAACTATTATATAAGCATGTTATTAAAGTAAATAAATAAGTATATATTAAACACTTGTCCACTTAGGTTACTCAATGTCTGTTGGTCAGATATCATCAGCAACAACCTACTCTGGCAGAGAGCAAACTAACTTCCAGATGAAGAGAAAATAGGGAAAGACGCGGGAGGTAGACAGGACATTGCACTATTTGTATGAACTAATGGTTCTTTTTGTACCTGATTGCCCACTGATTCCAAATTCCAAATATAATACATTCATTTGTGCTCATCTAGTTCTACTTGCTGTAAATTGTACTATTTCGGGAATTCCAAGTTAGTACAATAATTAGAATATTTCTAATATTTACATTGGCGCCACGATGGAGCCTGTGATTGAACGGTTGGATATACATTCGAATTCGGAAGCTTTCAAAGATTACATGAATAGGTTTGAAATCTAGAGTATGACAAGGAAAGAAGTTAAGGATAATGAAATAGTAGCCCATTTCCTTACATTCATCAGAAAGGATGCTCTTATTAAGGAATTTGGTATTTCCAAATAAGCTTACTTCACTTCCCTATGCAACTCTCAAAGAACTACTAAATCATGTAGAGTACTGTCTTCGAATGCTGTGAAAGGGCGAAATTTCACGAAATGATTCGCCACGACAACCAAAAGGTCAGAGAATATATCCTTGAATTGCAGTGTAATTTTGGTGATCAACTTCATGTACAGCTGTGTGACTGGTTTATTGTAGTAATTAGCATACCAAATGTAGAAAAAAAGCTTATGCACATGTCGAAATGTTCCTCTCAAGTTTCTAGAACTGTGTATATTAATTATGAGGCAGTGCATGAAATTTACTTCCAGGACATCAAGAATTTTACTACGTTACCTTGTTGTCCTAATCCGATGCGTACTTAAGGTCACACAGGTAGGCGTAGACGATAATCCTTATTTTCGTGAAAACATGAATAGCAATTCATTCAAGAATCGCAAAGCAGGTTACAGAGGTGAGCATAAGTTTGGTAAATGTTTATCCTGGGGTAAATTTCACTCACGTAAGTCATATGTCTTTCATCATGCAAAATGCCTTATGTTAAAAGGGGACACATTCAGTCGGTTCGTAAAACTACTGTTCATTTCGTCGCAAGTAATACTAAACGTTTTAAGTCATAGGTTAAAAGCCATTAATGAGGAGCTGTCAGCCCTTAATACTAACTCGAAAGTACAAAACTTAACTCTCCTTTTCAATAAACGCACTAAAGCAACTCGAAATGTTGATATACCGTGCATCCAGCATAATAGTACTTTTATATACGACTCTAAAACCATGGCCGACCTTTCCAGTAGTATATTCGCGAATGGTGTAGAAAACATAAGTGGCTATGCTTCAAGAGTTATGTGCGTGACTAGCAACTCAATAAAATATATCTCCTTCACATGCATTAACATTAATAAGGCTATAAATACCCTTAAGCTTTCGAAAGGTCATAGAGTAGACGGGATTTCATCATTTCTCTACAAATATGGTGGTCCAGATATTCCACTTCTTCTTCTAAAGCTGTTTACTCTCTCTATGGAAACCGGTTCTTACCCTTACTGTTGGAAAACCGCGTACATCATACCACGTTACAAATCTGGAGATAAGACTGACATGAACAATTACCGGCCAATAAATATTACTCCAGTTATTTCTAGGATTATGGAAAAAATTATAAGTGATGAACTTTCCAACTATTTACTTGCTGGAAAATTTATCAATGATACTCAACATGGATTTCTTAAAAATCGTTCTTGCATGATATGTCATTTTGACTTCTTTAATTTAGTCTATTCTCTACGTAGCCAAGGATATCTAGTCTTAGTGCTATATCTGGACATTTCTAAAGCCTTTGACATGGTTAGCCACCAACTTCTTATAGGTAAGCTTGCATCTTATGGGGTTCAAAATCCTTTGCTTGCTTGGCTTGATTCCTTTCTCAGCAATCGACATCAAATAGTTGAAATTAACTCTTCATTGTCTAACGCTGTCCCTGTTAGAAGTGGTGTAATACATCCAATCACGCGATTCAATATGCAGAAACCTCTCATTATGACATCCGTAATTCCTTGGCACTAGTGAAACAAACTCATTCTAAATCATCTCTTTATATGAATTACTTCACCTGTAAATTTTATAGACTCTGGAATAACCTACCACAATCTATCCGCAAGATAAAATCACTCCCATTATTTGTTCGCTGCATCGATGCATACTGCTCCTCTGAAAATGCATTGAATGGTCTAGCGCCTTTAAGTGTATCTCATTCCACAAGTGATATTTTAGGAACCTTAAATGTTTAGCCATCTTTATTAGTGAATTCCCTAAGTAAAACCACTTACTTTCTGTCACTTTTGTTAATACCGTCCCCAGCAAGTTTAACTAATTCGAATAACATAAACAGTATATAACTGTCACATGACACACGCATTTAGGTAGACCTTATTGGCATATTCTGGTAATTACTGCTTTGTTTTTCCGTGCTCTGTGTTTTCGTTTTAATTTCTCTAGTTGTAGATAATTATCATTATTTCGATCTGGCACACGAATTGACCTTAACTACTTCGTTAATAAATCAACAGGCTGTCCATTTAAAAAATATTAAAAATTCCCGGCTGATGCATTGGATCGCTGTAATATATGTACTACTTAAACAACTACTGAACTAGGATACTTAAAACTTTCTTTTGTCACATGTTTGTTCTGCACGTCTAACGTTACTATTTATATCAAATTGATCATGCCTGTAAACTGGCGTGAATTCTGTAATTATTATTTTCAGAATATAAATTATTATTATTATCATTATATTATATTAATTCGAATGGCCCTAATAGTCATATACTATCCTTATTTATGACTTCCTGTAATTCATTTCATATCCAAAAACGATTACATCTATTCAGTGGTGCTTTTCATGATTTAATTGTTGGCACTGGCAGCATCAAGTCCATAATTTCGGTTAAGAATTTGAAGTCATTAAATCCCGATGCCATAATCAAGCCTACAAAAGTTTCTATTTCGAGTATTACAGGTCGTAAACTTTCTATTCTTCGGTGCTGCAATTTGCTTATTAGAGACGATAAATCTTTAATCCTAAATTGTGAATTCAGAGAGACTATAATTTATGGACGAACCAATCAGACCTGAGACAACAGATGTTGGATTTTGGCGCGAAATTTATCCACTCACCTGGCTAAATACTATTTAAGCATTATAGCTTATGTCAGCTCGTGATGAAAATCCTAAATCGAATTCCTAACCCTAACTATCAACTGTGAACCATAATTATAATTCCTCACTCTGCTTTATAACCCTCTGTTGTGGATGCGGAGGAATAGACCAATAATTATGATGTTAAGTCCAATGGTGTCCTTGGACTTTAAATGGACATTTCCTATTGGTCGATATCTGTTCACTTGTTGAATATTGTACAAAATGTTGTTTTCTATTTTATGGTACGATGTGGTGTGCTTGATTGGTATATAAACAAAGTATGTTTGAAATATAATGATTCATATCTCAGAGGCTGTGGCTTGTGTTCTGGACTCAACTGGCTGGGCTGGACAGGGAAGCAGGACCAATCAGAACTACAGGCCGTTCGTTCGTATTTACGTGTCACTGTAGTCGATCGATAAGTACGCTGCTCTAATTTTCCAGTCAGGGACACAACAATTAGCACAGGGTAAAAACCGACAGCAACCTAAAGCCATAACACCCTCATTTAGTCCTAGTTAGTAGGTGGACATTTTTAAGGTCATCTTAGCGTTGCTCAAAGGTCGTCCATAAATTATAGGCTCACTGTGAATTCTTCATTATTGATTGCAAACAATCTATCCTAGGTCAAGGAAATTTAAAAATGCTTCAGGGAAAGCTTTCTTTACTGACCAATGAAGGCGATTCTAATGAAGTGAAGTGCGAAGAATTGTGCACGACTCCGAATTCTTCTCATTCTCATGTGCAAGCAAGAAATTCCAAAACCTTAAAAAACGTCAATCCAACTACTGCCGCAAAATTCAAAGATCCGGAGAGGAGAGCAGATAAATTCTCTCAGTGCAGAATTACTAGACCGTATGCAAAAGTGATAAAATTCTAAGAAAAGATGGATAGTGGCTAGCAGTGGAATAAGACGAAATGCACGTCCTGGATTTCACTGCTAGCTACAATGCATCTTTGCCTATAATGCTTGTGAATTAAGGTAATATCGAGGCAATCCGCACAGGATGTACATATGCCAATAAGAGACTCAGTCAGTCAGTCAGTCAGTAACAACGTAGAACTTCGTACGTACGTACATCAGTTCGAGTTGCCACACCACATTAGCACAGAGATGCAGTGGTCGATTCAAATCCCGTAGTGGTAGAGGTAGCAAGAGTATAAGCAGTAATCGGGAAGATTAGGGTTTGGAGATGTTATTTAAAGAGTATAATACAGTGAAAGAGATTTGGAAAGGAAATAAAGGACATGAAGAATTCAGATTATAATTTGGGAGAACACAGAGAGTGGATGCACCTGCACCATTGCAGACGATTTTGAGCCATGTCATTCAGGGTCTCTAACCATCGGTTGCTGTCATCTCGCGGTCCCCAACCAGGTAGTCTACACCTACCAACATGACTCAGTTCACTTGTCAGTGACTTCATGGACTTGTGCCATGTTTTGGTTTGGCCGCCCCTAGCTTTCTTCCAACCTACTTCTATACCACTGAACATAGCACGTCGAGGCAGTCGGTCGTTGGGCATACGTAACACGTGTCCCAGCCATCTCAACTGATGAAGTTTCACTACGTCATCAATTGATTTGCCATCCTTACCTAGTACCCGTTTCCTAACAACTGTGTTACTTACTCGATGGTCCCATGATATACGAGCAATGTTTCGAAGACACCTATGATCGAATACTAGTAACCTACGGATATCCTCTACTCTTACCGGCCATGTTTCACTGCCATAAAGTAGGACGGAACGAACTGCTGCGCAGTAAACACGTCCTTTGGTTGATAGACGGATATCTCGCCTACGCCATAAATGATGTAAGTTGGCAAAAGCTAGTCGAGCCTTCTGTATCCGTGCTGAGATTTCGTCACACACCAAACCACAAGGGCTGATGAGACTTCCAAGATAAGTGAAGCGGTCGACACACTCAACTACTTCACTCCCTATCACTAGTTCGGGTGTCGATGTAACCCAATCCTGAAGCAACATTTTGCATTTCGAGGGAGAGAATCGCATCCCGAACATGCTTGCATTGTTGCTTAGAGTGGTCAGAAGACTCTGCATTTTGTCAGCGTCTTCACCAAATAAAACTATGTCATCTGCATATTCTAAGTCAACAAGTGAACCTCCTGGTAGAAGTTCAACCCCTGTAAATTTAGATGAGGAGAGTGTTATCTCTAAAAGTACGTCAATGACAAAGTTGAACAAGAATGGGGAGAGTGGACAGCCCTGACGAACACCACTTGAGGTGATCAATTCTGATGACAGTTCGCCATAAGCTCTCACTCTACCAGTTGTGTTCGAGTAGAGAGCCTTTATAAGGTTAATGTACTTCTTTGGTACTCCTTTCAGTGACAAACACTGCCATAGAACCTCACGATCAACGGAGTCGAATGCCGCCTTAAGGTCGAGAAATACTACCATTGTGGGGCGTCTGAATGTGTGTCTCTGTTCTAGAACCTGACGTAGTGTGAATATCTGATCTATACAACCACGTCCAGGTCGAAAACCAGCCTGGTTTTCTCTAGTCTGCTCTTTACGAGCTTTAGTTAGGCGTCGAAGTATTATTGAAGCTAATATTTTAGACACTATATTAGCCAAACTGATTCCTCTGTGATTGTCACAAGAGGACTTTTGTCCTTTCTTAAAAACTGGCACAATCAGTGATTGAGACCAGTCAGATGGGATTACGTCCAGTTCCCAAATTCTACCTAAGACCTCAGTTAATCTTGCTGCTAATACTGGACCACCATCCTTAAAAATCTCAGGAGTAAACCTGTCAGGGCCTGCTGCTCTCCCTCGTTTCAAATTTCCTATGGCTTTTTCAACTTCGTAAAGGGACGGAGGACTTACATTAACTTGCCATTCAGGTTGACTGGAGATCGTGGGAAACCAAAGTGTGGCTGAAGGCCAGTTGAACTGATCCCTAAAGTGTTCTGCCCATCGATCCAATCTCCTGGATCGAGAATGAATAATATGTCCATCTTTCTCTGAGATTGTTTCGCTAACGGTCGGGTTCCTAATTCCGGTTTCCTTAACGAGTCTAAACAATTGTCTGCTATTACCTATTGCCGCTGCCTTTTCCATCTCTCTTGCTTTCGCTACCCACCACTGTTCGCGATCATTGCGTAGACTTCTTGTCAGCTTGCGCTTAAGCTGACTCCGCTTTTCGTCATGTTCAGAGCCAGATGGAATGAGTTTTCGAGCAACTATCAGTGCGATAGATGTTGCTGAGATCCAAAGTTTCTCCCTAACCTTGTGGTTTACCTTACTAGCAGATATCACTGCTGTTTCCACAGCTTTTCGGATATCATTCCATGCTGCATCGGGGTGGGCATCACATACATGGCTGCCTAACTGTTTTCCTAGTTGTTTCTGAAATATACTCTTAGCTTGACTATCATTAAGTAGGCCCCTAAGAGGTTTCCTTGCAGCGTCTTTCCTACGTCCCCCGACCGTTGTTGCTACCTTGACGTGGTGGTCGGGCTTGCCTATCGTGATGAAGCAACCGAGCTATACTGGCTGGAACAACCGTTCCTCAAGGTCCTACCATGTCAGACAGGTCGGTTGAAGAGCGGTAAGACTAAAAGCAACAAACCCAAGGTCCGAAGGCGAATTCGTACTGCTGACTGTACAGAGGTGTGACAGCAGTAAGGTGTTTCCTTCAGACAACCAGCATGACAGCGATGCTGCCTTCCCACAAGGAGGGGTGGGGTTAGAAAAGGTCCACCCTAAAAATGCACACCTCGCCTTATCCCACGGATATCCGTCTCCGGCGGTAAGGTCTCAATAAGTACGGAGCTAACACAAAAATTACCCATAACAAGGTCGTGTGTGACCGACCTCAAGCAGTTGTCCCTTGGGCACCGCGGTCACCTCCCTCTTCAATTCATATTATTCCTCCTACATAGACTTTCAACTTTAAATTTCCTCTCTCGGCTTCCACCTCAAGTGTCACCATAGTCAACGATTCTAGTGCGCAAAATACTGTCCCAGGTCTACTGAAACCTTGCTCCAAACTACATATTGGAGCCTTCAACGTACGCACCCTATGTCAAATCGGTCAGCAGGCTTCCTTGGCTAAAACCCTAGAGTCTCTTACCATTGATGTATGCTATGTTTCCGAAACACGCATACAGGATTCCAGTGTGGTCATTCACTTGACCTCACCTCGGCAAAACGGAGAGCCAACGGGATACACCCTACGTGTACCTGGTGACTCGATGGCCAGTTCTCGTGGACTGGCAGGTGTAGGCATAGCACTAAGCATGAGGGCCGAACAAGCACTGCTAGAGTGGATCCCCGTCAACAGTCGTCTATGTGCTGTTCGGCTGAACGGCTCCGTAAGAACTCGGAAGGATAGGGACACACATCGTTGCATTTTCGTCGTTTCTGCCTACGCTCCCAATGACTGCAGCTCAGATGAACTTATGTTCCAGTCAATATAGCTCGGTTGGGTCATCACGATAGGCAAGCCCGACCGCCGCGTCAAGGTAGCAGCTTCGGTCGGGAAAATACACATAACAAACATGTTTTGAGGTCAGTAACATTACGCTGAGTAGTAGATGGTGAGGATATACACAATCCACTCTACAAAAGGATATGCATAATTTTTGATGACAAATTGTCAAGAATTATACAACAAGCAGGGATAGTTAACTCCATTGATTATTCTTTTAATTGTATGTAATTCTCGCACTCAATTTGATGAGTGCTAAGAATTTCTATTTCCTTTAAATGAATTGTTATACTATTCATATTTACAGCTTTCAGCATCAGCCCATTTCTTAAAAAAGAACGACTGGGTCCCATGATAGCCATAATCATGGCTTGATTATGTAAAAATAACTCCAAAAAGGATCTACAGTTATAAAATAAGTTATTTGGCTGAAAAGCAAGTGGATTCACTGAGTTTATTATTAGTAGTATGAATGTGAACTAATTACGAAGTCAAGATAACACATATTTTTTGAAACCGTAAACGTACAACAGATTGTGTACGAAATGATAACTCACATTTTCAAAAGAACTTCGACCTTTAGATAAATACTTCCAGCGTTCACGTAACTCCAGGTGCATACACCAAAGAGACCAGCCTCCGTCAGTTAACTTGTTGATATTCTCAGTAAGTCTGCAGATAAGCAAATCAAAAGTTTCACCTCCATATGAATGCAGATTATTTTCGATACTAAACATATGGAGCTGTGAAAGTATACAGCTAGCGGCGGACAGTGTTTGCATAGATCGTTTGAGAGAGATATGCTCCGCCTATATAGATGTGATATATACAACCTCTAGAGATAACCACAATAAATATGAGCAGAATTTATTTGAAAAAAACCCAAACATTCTGATGTTACATCATTCAAATAAGATATAATGATATACCTTAAAAAGTGAGGTATTTGGACACAGAACATACTACACCTAAAAAAGAGAAAGCTCCATGCAATGGATCACCCACTTCCTTCATGATGATTGGTGGTAAAATTTCTGTTGGTGATGGCTTTGTGAATGGAAATAAATTCGAGGGGCCGAAAATACAATCAGATGTGGATTTAGAAGTTAAACAGTTCTGAACCTGCTATTTCTTTTTGTTGTTGAGAAAAGAGTGCCTAGTACTCTTCTAAGAATGCACGTGACTGAAATAGGCTTCACACGGAACTACAGGAGAATTATCATATTAGAAACCACCGCTGAACATTGCGGTACTCAGTACTTGACTTATGGTGATTTGATATACATAAATGTGTACAAACTAAAGCTTTCAAATGTAGTAGGATCGATCTATGAAACCCCTGAAAAGTATTAAAGGCGGGTCGCAAATCCAAAACCTGATCCTTTAACACAATGAGTGAGCAGATTTTCTTTTTCGTTCTTAAACTTAATGAGAAACAAAAAAACATTATACTAGTAGCAGTACTTAGCTGATGTAATAGTTAGCTGTTGAAGATTTGAGACACATTGTGTCAGTGCTTTATTAAAACTAAAATTGGGAGGTATGAAAAAATAAATAATGCCTAACTAAAAAAGTTAGACATTTCTATGTGGTATTTCCAGAATAATAAACCTCTGTCTGGGGCTAAAACGCTTAATAAAACCTTCATTTTCGTACTTTTATTGTGCTTCACTTTTCCAATCAACTATGATTGACTGTCACATATCTCAAAAATAATCACGTGGTATAACTGACACTGAAGAAAAAAGATAAAATCTTACACTCAAATCTATCTGTATTTATTTATTATTTATTTTATTTGAACACATAAATACTGGTACAAGGAGGCACCAGATACATATGCGCCACACAAATCAACTGAGATTTTTGTGAGGGCTGTGATACTACCCGGGTGCCCAAACCGAAGTAGGTGGTTTTCTTAGGGGGCTACACCCGGAGCCTTCGATCTGAAGGTCTAATCAACAAGGCAGTGGAGCATCATAAGGAGATGCAGTCCCATGGTAACCGGTGAGCAACGATTGGTTCATACACCATTTGTTCCCTCAGGGTGAAGAAGCCCATGTGCACCATCGGTTTGGAATCAGGGTTTTCCAACTCCCTTAGGTGGACTATCCGTGTCCACCATCTGCTGTTTTACAACTATAAATCCTTTGGTCGTTAGATGGAAATAATATTTATTGGTCTTTTGGATACTTCAGAATAAAATGTTTATTATATTCGCCCCCTAAGTACATTTAAGTAAACACAAATACGTACCACAAATACGTATTCGGTAAGGTAATTGACAAAAACTCACATTTTTTAACCTTGAATTATGTCTAAATCTGGACACGTAAAATGGGGAAACAAGTATAAATTGACGTAATCTGATTATATGAAATAATTCAATAATCAGTTTGTCCCAGTTACTTCAATTTTAGACGATTATAGACACAAATTATGGATTACATTTTGCCTATATATTTGTAGATTAGGGGAATTTTTGGAATTAGGATAAATAATGGAGGTGTAATGTAAGGAACGAAAAAGGTTCTACTAACACAAGCTCATGGACAAAAGAAAACTAACCTCAAGTACACTCATATATGAATTCAAGTCACATGTTCCTCTGATCGACTTGGTTAATACGGTCTGTAGGTCAAAAGATCCTAGTTACAAATTTAAAAAGTAATCAAACTATAGTATGAGCTTGGAAGTGCAAAGAGAAAAAGTGGGGAAATGGAACAATCATGTACTGTTCCGAGATGCCATACTTAACATAAACACAAAGAGAAGAAATAACCAATAACCAATAGTAGCAAGTAACAAGGAAAAAAGCGGGAACGGACAGTCGGATTTACAAAGTAAGATTATAGAAATTTCGAGTATAGAAACTAAATACACAAATGATATAGATTGAGTTATTTTACTGCATCCTTAGTGAGATGATAATCATCTTATAAAACTAAGTAAAGATATGTACATCTTCCTAGTCTTCAGTAAATAATTTTGTTTTGGTGTGACCACCAGAATCGATGATAACTCCAACTTGAGGAGGAGGATCTTTAAATTTAAATTTAAAATGGATTCTGGGGTTTTTAAAGATACTCAAACGGCACGGAGGGTTCACCTAGGGGAGTTGGAAAACATTGACTCCAAAAGAATGGCGTACATGGGCTCCAGTATCCTGAGGGGATGAATGACGCATGAACCTATTGTTCACCACCGGCTACCATATGACTGCATCTCCTAACGTTGCTTTACTACCTTGTGGATTAGACCTTTAGGTCGAAGGCTCCGAGTGTGGCCCCATAAGAAAACCGCCTGCTTCGATATGAGCATCAGGACAGCATCACAGCCCACGCACAAATCAAATGAAATGAAAATTACCACTGGAAATACTATTCTTGCTTTAATTAAAGGTTACATAATTCGCATTCACTTGATATTTTATTTATTTATTTATTTTAACACATAGATATTGGTACAAGGAGGCACCAAATACATATGCGCCACACAGATCTCATTCGATATGTGTGCGGGCTGTGATACTGCCCGGGTGCCCAAACCGAAGCAGGTATTCACTTGATAACATTCACTTTTTATATACCACGCCATTTATCTACTCACTTCTATTCTCACCTTGTGTATTCTTATTTTACAACTTACATAGCAGCTCGCCAATAGTGAAAACCCTGTTCTACCTAAAAGATTTCGGGTCATCGACTCGTCGAAAGTTGAATGCTATCACCGAAAACAATTACTAAAAGTCTTTCTGAAACTAAGTATACCATTCAAAATGGCTTCCTTCAACGTTCACACACTAATGCAGATCTGAAAACAGATAGGGTTGGTTATGTCTTTAGAAAGTCTTAATATCGATGTTTCTTGTCTATCCGAGACCCGTATTCAAGGCTCTAGTGAAATAATACAAATCCACCCTCCATCAGTCTCTTCGAAAAGCTTGTTTCACGTGCGTTTATCCGGGGACCCTGTGGCATCTTCATCTGGTCTTGCTGGCGTTGATGTCGCATTGAACGCCAGAGCTGAGACAGAACTGATTGATTGGATCCCCATTAACAGTCGGTCATGTGTTGTTAAATTATAAAGTTCCACCAAAGTGAGAAATCGGTGTGAGAAACGATGTCTTTTCATCATCTCCGCCTATGCTCCAACAAATTGCAGCCCGGATGCTACCAAGGACGAGTTTTGCTATCAATTGGAGTCCTCCCTCTACGTCCCAAGCCTGGACTTAGGTTGATCACGTCGCGATCAGCTACCTCTGGTGTGGTTGTGTACAATACTGCACTGGTTGCAGTTGCATAACGCCATGAAAATAGCGAGTAAATTCGCTTGCGTCTTCGTGAAACGTCCCGCTTATAAGCATTGGGCTTCTCCAAGCTTCCTTACAACTCATGGAATCCCATTAGTCTGCTTTGAGTGACCGCGAGTTTGACCACAAACTACGACTTTTACGTAATGAAATTAGGCAAAGCTTACGTAAGGACTGAGAAGCCTGATGGTCGGAGAGTGCCACTAAGTTGGAAGCAGCTGCTGCATCTGGTAACAGCTGGAAGCTCTTAACTCATCCAAGTCACTGGCAGCAAGAAGTCTGGTGTGAGCGGAACAATCTGCGAAGATGACGGGATGCCAATCACTAACATCCATCGACGTCTTGGACGATGGTCAAAGTTTTTCGTTAAGTAGTTCAACTGGTCTGCTGCCTCGGCAACATCGATCTGACTGTCCTGACCTCCATGACCTGTGACGACTGATCCACTAGATGAGGCGGAAGTCCGCAAGGAACTCCAACTCTTGAAGCGCTACAAATCACCTGGCCCAGATTACTTACCTCTGGCTCTTTTTACGGATGGTGGCGACTTTCTGGCTAAGGAACTGACTGTGTTGTTTACAAAGGTCTAGAAGCTAAAGAGTGTACCAAAGTCATAGAATGAGTCGATAGTTGTCCCTATCTTTAAAAAGGGTTCACGTCGTTCCTGTAACAACTATCGAGGGATAAGTCTAATTCCGATTGCGTCCAAACAATTGGCTTCCGTCATACTTCGTAGATTGTTCAAAACCCGAGAAAGATTGACTCGCGAAGAGCAGGCTGGTTTTCATTCTAGTCGAGGATGTATTGGTTATATCTTCACCCTCCACCAAATGTTAGAACACCGTCATACTTATCACAGGTCAACAATCGTAGTGTTTCTTGATATCAGGGCTGCCTTCGAGTCGTTGGACAGGACTGTTCTCTGGGATTGTCTATGGAAGAAGGATGTGTCTGAGAAGTTTATTAACATCTTCAAAGCCCTATGTACAAACACCACAGGCATGGTGAGGACATACAACCACTTCCCTCCACTGTACCATTCAAGCAGTGATTATTTATTAATTTATTTGAACACATAAATATTGATACAAGGGGGCACCGAATACAAGTCATTTGATTTGTGAGATTAAACAGGGTGGCCCAAGGCTTTGTTGATTAGGATTGTCATAATTTATACTCCGATCCTGTAAACGTTTGGTTGATAAAGTAACTTAAAGGACTAAAGCATTCAACTTCATTAATTTCGCCATAAATCAGAAAAAGTTGTATTCCATCACAATTTTACACAAGGTGCCAAATACTTATGGAGCAGATAGGTGGAAAATAAAATTCTGTAGTTTATCGATTGAGTGAATGAACAAATAACTTTAAAGTGGAATTGATTTGAAACATAGATAGATGGATGGAGTAGAAGGTGGTGTTCCCAACGGCAAAGTTAAGCAATCAAACTATGTGAGTCAGAGAACATACCACTACCAAAGAATACACAACTGCTCGTATATTTATCACACTATTTGAAAATTAATCAAATAACCAAATAGTGGTAAACTTACGTCTACTGATTGAGCGAAGCTTAGCCTCAGTTTCTTGAACGTCCAGTTCAACATCTATAAAAAAATAATTACGCTTTAATGAAGTTGAAATCGTCTTTTTACAACATTGGGTTTGCAAATCTTGTAAAATTACGTTCTCTAACCTTTTATTGTACGTGATGGGTCGTGAAATAAGCTCATCGGTTGAACGAGACTTGTAATATCACTCCATATGGTTTCGATTTCTTGAAGTCTACTGGAAATATTGACCCCAAGAAAATCTTCCACTGGTTCAGTTGCGTTATCAGAGGTCTTTCCGGACATAACCAAAAGCTGGTTGGCCAGGGAACGTAAACGATTAAGGTCAACGTCTCGATTGTTAATACATGCAAGGTAATTCTGAAAATCAAAAATGACATCGATATAACTTCTTAACAAAAATTCATATTTCTAATACATGTATGGATAGCTGGTACATTTTAATTCATACAGCTTTTTCTTTTCCCAGCCTAAATCACCTGTCGTTATAGAAGATGAAGTGCCTTGCGTGACATAAAGCCTAGTAGCCTCTTCGGTTTATGTAAATTCACAGATATACAGACTGATGTTTTTATTACTATATCCAGGTAGTTCTTTAAAAATACCTACGACCGAATACCTATAATCTAGATGCCCTACACTAAAAAGACAAGACATACAAAAATTTAGCATCCAACTTACAAGGCAATAAAGTATGTGCCGATAATGCTATATTCAAGAAAATGAAGTATCGCCAGAAAATATTCACACCAATAAGGATGCGAGCGAAAAATGCAAGTTAATAAGGGCGCATATTAGGAAAGGTAATCATTGAGAGGAAAAATAACATTTTTCCATCATGTGAAATATGTTTGACTTACTCTTTGTCTCCTTGCCTTACGATCAATGAAAAAAACACAACTCTAAATGCATGATGAAAAGTCTAATCTCAACAGATACTTCAGGTTTCCAAATTTGGTAACAAATTTTTATTACCCTAGTCGTGCTAATTTCCACGTTCATTTGGAACAGCTAGGATATAATCTATTAAAGAGGATGTTTGCGTGTTGGATTCTCAAGAAATCAGGAGCTTGTTAGACAATCTCAGTTGACCGACAATGTAAAGGTTATAGAATTAATTACGACTATACACTTGCAGTGAAAATGTAATATGTAAAGTAGGTTTGTATCTACTTTTTAGAGGAAATATTTTGCTCAAAATGAAATAACTGTATATAAAGTCCACTAGTTACAGTCTAGGTTGTTTTTCATACCTCATTCGAGTGGATTTGGAATACGTGAAGCGCTGTAAGGGCGAAAAACATGCCTTAATTTCAAAATTAAGTTGTAGTCGGAATTCTTTGTTAAATGTGTTCCCGAAAACATTATATTCTGTGCTCAAAAGCGAAGCATAACTAAATTTTATTCTGTCGACTGTCGTAGTCCGTGATAGCAAGGGCTAAATGATTAGGCTTAATTTAGTGTTAATTGAATTAACACATTAAGTAGACCCCATGCAATTACTATTAACATGTAATTACTATGTATATAAGTCAGATTGCCACTTATCCCAGTTGAAATCATACTTAAACTTACGTCTAACAGATAGAAACGTCAAAAACATTTTTCCAGACTAGTTAGCTTAAATCAAAAATCTAATTACACTACAATATCTTAAATGATTTTGCTGTAGAGGCGACAGCAGCTTAACAGTGCAGTATTTTTTTATACCGCAAGCTTCAATCACCACTGTAAATTATACGACAATGCAACTTTCCAGAAAGCGATTTTTTTATCATTTGGATGATGACCACATTCTATATTGAGATGCTGTTTGATTACAAGTTCATGGTGTAGCTACGTCATAACCATGAACTCGAGGTTGGAAGACGGAACTCCTAAACTCTTGATTTGTCACATTGGTAAAGATGAGTCGACTCCTTAACTTGCCACAAGCAAATACCAGAGTAAGAGGGGCAGAAATAGCATTAATGGCAACAGAAAAGATCAAAAATCGAAAACGATTCGAGAAGATATGGATCAGTCGGGTAGATTTTAAAAAATCGTAAGGTATTTTATCAGATTTGGAGCTAAGGAAAAAAAGGTGGATGCATATGAGCATTCATATTAGGTCTTTAATTATTGGTTACCACGGTCACGTGAATCCTAAGCATATAGTCTGCGCCTACCGGCATGGCTCAGTCGACAACCCGTGTATCATTGTAATGATGCAATACTTCGAGTCATAGTTTTCTTACTTGGGAGAGAAATTGAATTCCTAACTACATTTAAGTCATTTTACAGAACATTAAAAGTGAGTTCATGTTTGAACTTAGCGAAAATACCTGATTCATGTAAGATTCTGAACGACTAACATGGCCCAACCGTCCTTCGAAAGCCATTTTACAAACTCTTTTAAGCCACCTCTCCAATTCTTCAGATAATAAGCAGAATTGGGCGAATAGTTTGGCGTAGGCGCATATTGGCGTGTTTTTTGGTAAACGATTGTTATTCATAAATCTCTAACGGGCAGGTTAACAAAAATAAAAGTTACCACTTCGTCCAAGAGGGAATAGCACTCGTCACGAAGATCAAGAAATGATTGTGTCAACAATAGTGGAACGTTGTTATCCAAAGCCATTGGGATGCTCAGTAGTAGTTCAGCTTAATTTTCAATGAAATTACGTCAAGATTAGCATGAATATATAAAATTAGCGCAATCTCCCTAATTACTGTACCGAAAACCCAGTTAACAAGTAAATCACAACGAACTAATCAGGGAATTTCCTTGCAGGTAAGATACACATTGACCAGGTCACACTGCACTTTAAAGACGCGCGTAAAACCAAAGCTCTCAATCTCGCGCTGGATGCACAAAATGCACATCAAATCCTGAGGCATTGACATATAGTGGGTGAGAATTGGAAATATGCGAAGATTATCTGGGTAGGTGAAGACATGAAGAACAAGCTAGGCGATGAGTTCTTGCGATTATGTTACATGTCGAGCATTTTGGATGTCTTTATTTATCAGCTGCGAACATTATTTTCGCTGTCACACATCAGTTTTCGTAATGTTTGTGTTACTCTCATAGCTTTTATCCCAGTTTGTTGGTAGTTTGACCTAGTTGTTCGATCAATGTTAAGTCGACTGTAAAATGCTTATTTGTTTCAACCTGAACCCAAGCAAGTAAAACGAACTATTTATGAAGTCCGAGATAGATTCTAAATGGTTCAAATGGTTGTGGACGGAATAGAAGAAGCTTTCGCTTAACAGGCTTCCGTGTCTAGTAGCAGGGGATAACCAAATCCTCCAGGCAGGAACCTAGGTATGTTAACAATAAAAGAGGAAAAGAAATCGGTAAATCATAGTATGATGCTGTCCTTGGTCCTTAATAATAGGTCAGGTTGCCTCTTGAAGGACTCCTGAGAAGTCGCTTGGACTAGCTCGGCCGGCAGCGAATTCCAGCTTTTGACAACTCTTAAGGAGTAGAAGTTATGTCTACATTCCGTTTTGCTACGTTGTGTTTCCAGTTTCTGGATGTTACCCCTTAGGTTATTATTCGAACTAAGCTTAAGTAGGTGTTTAAGAGGATGTCCTGAAGTGTTAAGAATACTATAAGCCATTAATAAATCACCTCTAATACGCCTATACTCTAATGGGTAAAGATTTAGTGAATGGAGGCACTCTTCGTAAGGCTTAAATTTGAGTCCTCGAACTGATTTCGTCGCTCGCCGTTGGATACGCTCTAAAGTATCCTTATCCTTTTGGAGTGAGGGGGAAATACTATGTTTCCGTACTCTAAATGGGGACGGATGAAACTATTGAAGATTATATGGAAAGTTCTTCCGTCAAACTGGCCAAAAATGCGCTTCATTGTTACCAGTGCAAGGTTTGCTCGGAAGGCATTTTTGTCACAGTTAGCATAAGATTTTAAATCATGGGGCACCAGGACTCCTAAATCTTTTTCGACTTGGGATACTACTAGAGAGGAGTTTTCTAAGTTATAACTGTAGTCTGCGACATGTCGCAGATGGACTACTTTACACCTTGAAGTGTTAAAGGTAAGTCCGTTATCGTCTGCCCAACTTTGAAGTCGAGTCAGATCCTCCTGAAGTGCCTGTATATCGTCTTGGTTGCATATCTCTCTCCAAAGTTTCACGTCTTCGGCAAAAAGTAATAAGTCTGACGTTACCTGTTTAGGAAGATCATTTATGTAGATCAAGAGGAGAAGAGGTCCTAGTACTGAGCCCTGTGGGACCCCACTAGGACATTCCATAGCCTGAAAAAACGTGAAATTAGTCCTGCCCTTAAAGTGTCGATTTTTCAGGTATGAAGTGAGCCAATTGATTAGAGGTGGTTTGATACCTAGTCGTTTGAGCTTATTGATAAGACACAAATGGTTAACCTTATCAAAAGCTTTTGAGAAATCAAGGTAAATTATATCAACCTTCCCCTTGCGATCGAGGATGCTTGTTCATCTGTCCACCGCAGACAGCAGGTTGGCTATACAAGAGTAGCCCTTCTGAAACCATGCTGTTGGGGTGAGAAGAAATTTAAGGACAGTAAATAGTCATATATACCGTCGCATATCAGGGACTCCGTGAATTTTGAAGGTATTGAGAGAAGAGCCACAGGCCGGTAACTTGAAGGTTCGCTGCGTCGACCTCCTTTGAAAATTGGTGTGATGTGAGCTAGCTTCCAATTTTCCGGTAGTTTCACTCAACTTAGCGCGTCTGGGAACATCACGCTAAGCGGCGTTGCCCGGATTAAGGCTGCTTCCCTTAGTATAGTAGGATGGACCATATCCGAGCCAGGAGAAGTGTCTGTTCTTAAGTGCTTCAGTTCCCGGAACACCAAGTCAGCGCTTAGGTTCACTTCGGAAAGTCCTTTACAGTTGCGAATGAAACTGTCATCAGTAAAGTTGATGTGGGTCGGTTGAAATGTCCGAGAGTATTGTTCAGCCAAAAGGTAGGCGGCGTCGCCGTCGTTATTGGTCGGGCCGTTGAGACCTGGCAGTTGGGAAACTCCAGTTTTGGATTGACGAGGAGAGGCTGCATAACGGAATAAGCTTTTCAGATTAGTGACAAATTTATCCATAAACTTTATCTGGTACTGAAGCCTATCTTCTCTTATAACCTCCGTGCATATGTTCCTTATATGTCTGTATTGCCTGTACGCTCCGTTGTTGTCAGTTCGTTTGTATTCTGCCAATCAGTGCCTTTTGCAGCTTAGCAGGCGAAGAGTGCAGTTCTTGATGATTGTAGGTTGCTTGCAGCTTTTGGGGACTGTTTGAGGAACTGAATGATTCGTAGCACATAAGAGCGTGTGCAGTAAGAAGTCCTAATGGGCGTCCACATCGAGTTGAGGGAGAACATCCCAAACCACCTGTTGTAGATAGTTATGTAGAGCTGGCACATTCAGCCGTTTAAAATTCCAACGCAAATTATTGGTGGGATACCTTAGCTTAGTTTTGCTGACGAAACTGAAGGCTATGACGGCATGATCGCTTTTTCTCAGAGGAGCCAGGATTGAGAGGTTGTCATCTAGGAATTCTTCGTTTGTGAATACACAGTCTAAGCGCGATGGTGTCTGACTGTTTCTCCAACGAGTTGCCGACTTCATATTTTCAAATAATCTCAAGTCCTCAATGAGGTTGAAGAACCGAGCTTCTATTGAGTTGTTGCCTCCAGTGTACGTGTGTTCCGCGAAGTTGACTCTAGGGAGATTAAAGTCCCCTAGAATCAGGATGTGTGTGAAACCGAGACGGGTAGAGTGGGATAGTCCTTCCAGCATACGACTATCGTACTCGATGTCGGCAGTTGGCTTCCTGTAAATGACTCCGACTAGACACCTCGAAGAGCTAGACAATCTTACAGAGCACCATATGGATTCCTCACGATTGTTAAACTCGAGGTTGTGAACTTGGTGCACCACCAAGCAAGAACTTATGTATATGGCTACTGCACCCCCAGGTAATGCTAATTCTTGGTCCGAGAACTGAGAAGATATCCAGGTTTCAGATATTCCTATCAGATGGGCCTTATTAGCGTTACTAAGTTCACGTAATTCATCCAGTTTGTTTGGTAGACTTGCGGCGTTCATATATAAGCAGTTTATGCTTTCAATTTGGAACGCGTGAGCTTCGTCCTGTTTTTCTTTGTGAGCCTTACGTGGATGGACAGGTAGCCCACCTATATGAGGTTTCCCGAGGTGGTAGGCCCTGTCCTTTACGCGTTTTTTATCATTTAGACAGTCCACAAGTGGAACGGTCAGCTCCAACTTGCCTTTGTGCTTGGTCCTAGCTTCGTATGGCCTATCCGGGTGCATGTGGATTCCAGGTGGCAATCGACGTCTGTCGGCACGAAATGCTTCCAGAATTGCAGCCGCCATGTGGGAGGATGGGAAGGTTATCTTCATTAGACGAGGTCTAGGATCATCATCCTTCTTGGCTAGTCTTGTCACATGCTGAGTCAGGACTGTTTGATGAATTTCCATTCCCTGATGTCAGAATTTCATTGAGTAGGGTCTACATTTTCCGGTATACCTTGCATAATTATGTTTCTTCTGCGGAAAAACTTCTCGTGAGATTCTTTAGGGGTGTTCCGTATGATTTCGCGCTCAGGGTACGGTATGTCGAGCAATGTTCTTACGTTACCATCGGATTTCAGCGAGTGACTTGCTAGCAAGACGTCTTCTACGTCGGTAGCATTCCTAAGTGTTACTCGGAGAAGCATCAGGTGATTTAGATGCTTAGAATCCTTTCCTCAAGTGAGCCGGGTGACCGTCAAAGGCTCTATTCTAGGAAGTTCGAGCTTCTTGTTCAATTCACCCCAGAGGATCCTGTCATTTTTGTCCTGCAGACTGAGAGGAAGGTCAGGATTGTCAACGAGGTTTATGATAATGAGAGAATCGTCACGAACTGTTGTTAATTTACCAGGTTTCACTATGAGTTCAGGTTTAATACCTTGTTGTTTGGAGATCAAGGCGCGTTTTTGGGTCTCGGGCTCTTTGATGACCGGACGAACAGTCTTAGGGGTAGACTGTGCGACCAAATCACCAGTTGTTTTCCGTACAGCAACACTTGGGTTGCTCGGCTTAGGCGATGACGCCTGGTTCTTTCGGGCTCTCTTAACGTGGGTCGAATCACCCACAGGGTTTTTTGGAACCACTGTTGTGTTCAGGGACCCTGAGCTGGGAGACCCGAGTTTGCTTAGGGAGTCTAATACCGTCAACGTAATGATGGTGCTGAGCCTCGACACGTCATCATTAGTGTTGGTGGATGCTCCATCAATGGTATACCTGTCGACATCCCTATTTTTGTGTTCGTCGCAAGCTCTTGTTTGTCTACCGGTTTTTTTACTATCGTTATCCAAGTTAACTGACAACTTGTTGCGCAGGCCTGTCAGTAGGACAATGATATTACTCAGCAAAACTACAGCGTCTGCGCTGCAAGTGACACATACCCACTTTTGGTCTGACTTGCTGAGTTATATCTGCTGTCATATCTGTCCATGCTTCGTGGAACCAACCTTTGCAGTTGTCGCACTGCATGCCAGTTGCAACAGCAAAACGGCATCCCGGACGTTTGCATGAGTTTTTCATGACTATGTTGAAGCAAACTATGTTATAGATGCTTGCAAAAGCCTAAGACCTTTAAAAGACACTAAAAAGCACACTGAAAACGGACAAAAATGGATAAAACGAGTGAGATAAACTGAAACTAGTCTTTACGTGAAAAAAAACCGAATAGTAAGCTGAGGCAAAACCACAGGTAACTATTAAATATGTTGAAACTAAAAAAAGTAATCTACCGAACGCATAGCTCAGGATAGATTCTTTAGAACTGAAATA